GAGTAGCAGCAACCTAGCTCTCACTTTTGTGGAGATCTGAGTATGAAGCAATAGGACTTGAAAGATTTGGTGCATGTTCTGCGGAAAATATTAACTCTAGAGCATAGAGCCATATGCAGAAGCATCTCAGAAGATGGTGGATCACCCAGTCCAGAACCAGCTACCCTGAGGTCCGTGGAGCACTCATTCCAGAACCAACTACCCTAGAGATCCATGGCGTACTCTGCTCACAACCAGCCACCTTGGAGGGTCATGGAACACTAAGCTCTGAAACACAACCCTAGAAGACTATAGATTACCCAGCTCAGACCAAGGCTCAGTGCTGTCTTCCTAGAGAGTCATAAATATGAGTCCTAAGTCTGTAACTACCAAAGAAAAGATGTTGGATCCATAAAAAAAAACTATGTAGAACAATTGGCCAACTTTGTTAAGAAGGAGGTTGCTAAACACATTCACTTTAATGTGTAAAAATAAGAGCATTACTTCTTGTTCTATGACATAGACGCAGCTCCTTTATCCAGGTTTGGTACCTTGCTGCATGCTCTCTGAACCGTGGACTTCCTCTTCTGCACACGGGTTTTTGTGGTAACTGCTTAGGCATTCAAATATTATTTGTTTGATTTTCTTAGTGCTATCTCTTCTCTACCTGGCAAAATATCCAGAATCATGTTAACTACACATAGCAAGGAGCCCCTAGTCCATCAACAGGCTCACTAAGTGATTACCCAGTGAGCCTCTTGGCCCTATGGTTTTGTCTTTACATTATAAAACATAATGGTCTCCAGTTTTAGAGATCTCATTGGGTTTTATTATGTGTCAGTCATTATTTGTTTTGGAGGCAAGGCAGGTTTAGTGTGTTCCATGGTTAAATATTAGAGTTCTGAGCTAGAATTCCCTGGGTTAGATACCCTACCTTATTTTATGACCTAGAAGGTAGTGTATCATCTCTGTGATTCAGTTTCCTCATCTATAAAAGGGAGGAGGGGTTGGTAGACAGTGTCAACGGCACCTATTTCACTATCTTTTGTGACCATCAGGAAAATCATGACATGAGAAATGTTTACAACAGTGCCTGGCCCACAGTAAGGTAGTTATGTATAAATATGGTGTTAACCCTGCTTGTCCAATGAGGAAGTTGGGTGCTTACAATAGCCTTCCTCCCCCACCCCATAACTTGTTGATATGGATCTATCATTTTAACTTTTCATACTTAAAAAAACTAAAAAGGAAAAAAATAAATATTCTCATGGTGCTTTTTTATTTTTGTTGTTGGTAGTGGTGGTCCTGGGGCTTGAACTCTGGGCCTGGGCTTTGTCCCTCAGCTCTTTAGCTCAAGGTTAGTGCTCTACCACTTGAGCCACAGCACCACTTCCAGTTTTCAGATGGTTTATTGGAGATTAGAGTCTCATGGACTTTCCTTCCTGGGCTGGCTTTGAACCACGATCCTCATATTTTAGCCTTCTGAGTAGCTAGGATTACAGGTGTAAGCCACTGGCACCTGGCTAGTCTCATGTTTTTAAGAGTTGGGATTTGGGAAATATTGGACTTTGGCAAGATGAAGACAGTAAATCCAAGAAACAAAGGAAGCTTCAGAGCAGTTTAGGGCTGAGGACTTGGCCACTCTCTTGAACATTAATATAACAGAACTTCACCTGTGCCTGTGATGTCCTGAGCAGCAGGAAAGACTGGGGAGGGGAGATGGAGGAGTCAGGCAGTGGGACTCACAGAGCAGGTTGCTTCCAGAAGTAACAAGAGTGCCCCTAATGGTGAATTCTGGCTCATTAGGAAGTCTGACAGCATCTCCCAGACAGGACTGTGTCTTCAAGGCAAAGACATTTGAATTGACAACAATACAAAACAAAAACAAAAACAACGCCCCTCCAATGCCAAGGTTCCCTACTGAGAGAAAGTGGATGCCAAAGGAAATCAAACGAAAAGGTGGTGAGTCCCTGGAGGGGACTCTCTTTCCAGAGAAAGCTGAGTCCCTCAGTGGTCCCTACAGAAGACCGGCCATCCCCAAGTAGAAGCAGCTCAAACATCCATGTTGAGCAAAGAAGACACAGACACTAGGGTGGATTCACAGTGGAATACTATCCAGTTATTAGTCTGAGATGAATAAACCACAGCCCGGCTCAGCAATGGGATGAATCTTGCAAAACAAGATCAGGCCAAAGGAACCCCAAATCAGAAAACACAAGCTGATTCCACTTTCATGGAACCTCAGGAGTCCACACTTCTCGTTCACGTGAGGTGTGTTAGAAGTCAGGATAGTGCCCCTGAGGACAGGAAGTGTCAGAAGGGCCACAAATGTCTTTGGTTTTGGTCTTATTCCAGTGTTCATTTGAAAGTTTCACTGACTTACACACATACTTTTGGGGCACATTTCTGAAATATAACATATGTTCTATATTAATCCTTCCCCCATCTCCCACCTCCAAGTTAGTACTGAAGTGAAAGATGGTTCCAGAGTTCAGATTGCCAGAACTGATGACATACAAATTGGGTACATTGGAGGTGAAAAGTACGTTAAGCAGAGCTTGTATCTCTGGGATGCTGGTTCTTAGTATTTGACGCCATTGTTTTGACTGGGTTTTCCCCTTGTCCTTTGATCCGGTCATAGAGAACTACAGCCTTCTCTCATATTCCAGTGTTTTCTATGAGGAGCCATACATAGGACTTACCAAGGGGCTCAGGACCACCTCCACGTCCACGGGCACACAGGTGGCTTCTCACTGGCTTTACACACACACACACACACACACACACACACACACACACACCATACCACACCACACCACACACCACCCCCTTTGCTTTCAGCAGCATCCAGAGCAGCCAGGAGCTTCAGTGGCCTGGCTACAAATCTCTTTCTCCACACCTAATGGGAGAGCAAAGTGGACAGCAAAGGGACAAGGCTCAGGGCAGACTCTTCATGTGATTGGCAGTGCAGGGAGAAAGGGAGAAGCCTGTGTGTGGCTCTGGCAGGCAGGGTTACAGGAAGGGGTGTAGCTGGCCAGCCTGTGTTTGGGGGGCTGGGGGAAGGGTCAGCTGGCTGGGAGAAAACAAGTAGGCCCAACGTGACAGTCCCCACATTCTGCAGACTTGAAAGGGAAAGCCTTTGGCTTCTGCCTGGACTCCTGGGGCTCAGCCTGGCCTGGCCTGAGGCTGCAGGAGGAAGAACAACATGGGAAAGGGTGTGGTGGGGCTGGCTCTTCAGGTGGTGGGAGAAGCTTTCATTCCTGCAAAGGCTGTGTGTGGCCTGAGCTTCCTTGTCCCTTCCTGTCCCTTCCTTCTGTCCTCTGACTGATGCCTCTCCTCTCCTGTGACTCCTCCCTCACCTCACCTCACCTCACTTACATGATACACTTTTTTTTTTCTGGAAGTTTCTGCAGCATGCTGTAACACCTCAACGTTTCTCTGAGGTTTTTCCTCTGTCACTGCCTGTTAGAAAGTCTCAGTTCCTTTCTTTCCTGGGGTTTTCATTTTCACATACCTCCTACCTCCCATTCCTGCAGAGGTAGGCTATACAGAGAAAGGCCAGCAGAGGGCAAGAGTCCTGGAATTACACGGCGAGGCAGATGAACGTGAGAAACTACAAAGCGTAGAGACTTTTGCTGGTCACTGATGCTCTCATTTGTCGTTGGGGTTGTGTCACCCATGGCAGGAGTCTATGGGCTGTGCCAATTCTGGGGTCATGGTGAATGCTCTGGCTTATGACAACCTACTGAATACTATCACATACTCTCCCTGATACTTATGCTCCTGCCCAGTCAGACAGACAGACAGCAGACAGACAAATGGACACATAGGCAGGATAAAACATTGGAAGAAACTCTCCATGTGATAAATCCTAGTACCCAAGTGAAGTTCCTCATGGGCAGCGCCTCTGTCATCCTCTGCTAGAACTCAATCAGGTAGAACTCGCTACTCTATTTTCTTCACAATTAGGTAAAATGAGGAAGCAGCTTTCGGCTTTTTTTTTTTTCCTGCCACAAAGGACAATGTAATTGCTGGTTCCTTTTTGTGGTAACAATGATATTCACTAGATGAATGAGGATAGAAAATACAGCCCAGTCTATTCTTAAATGTAAACCCCCTCATGCAGACCTCCTGCCTACCCCTGAACTCCCAGCTCCCTTCCTTGGTAAACGATGTTCCCCCTTATTTTATTCTTTTTCTTCACCCTCCCCATCCATTTTCAAAAACAATGGCCTATACACCCATGATGCTTCGTAGCATTCTGCAACCAAATTATAAATCACCTTCTAGTTCCCCAGAGGTAGCTACATCTAAAAAACCTTAGGAATATGAAGGAGAGGATTGTATAAACAACAGTTCTGAGCTACTATGTGCTGTAGAGCTGTGCTAAGTGACTTCTTTTCCTTTTAGGTCCATCAGCAAAAATGGAAGCCGGATTTGGTCCACTACAAAAAGATTCAGGGAGCAGTGCAGAAATTTGCACTCACGGGCTGAGGAATTGTAGCAATGTAGAGATTCAAAAGGCCTGGGGGAAGGTGAAAGGTCTGTCTGGCCAGGCTTGACGCCAGCTCCCAGGCTGCAGGTTTGCCTCAGTTCACGCAAAGGACCAACCTTTCCCCACTCAGAGCCAACAAGACACGATTTGTTCCCTTTGGGCTGTGTAGGTTCTGCAAGACAGATACCCCAGGCTTCAAGCTCAGGAGCCTGACTTTCTGGAGCGCCATTTGCTTGGACAAGCCAGGCCAGTGAGGCAGTTTCATCTTCTGAAAGCTCCCAGGGCAGAGAGCATATTTGAAGAATTCCTTTTTTTTTCAAAGACTTTTTTTTTTTTTTTTTTGCCCCTTCCAACATTTTGTTTAAGAGAAAATGAGATGTCTATCTTCTGTTTCCTTATTTTTTTTCAGGAAAGCAAAGGGTTGTTGACTTCCTCCCTCTCCCCTCCCTTCCTTCCTTCTTCCCGAAGGTACTCATCTGAGAAAAAGAGAACGAAGTATTGTTCCTGTTCTCCTTCTTAAGTCATTTCAAACACTGTCCCTGAGAGTTCTCTAAGTTCCCTGCAATCTGTACAGGAGAGAAAGAGGGAGAGAGAGGGAGAAAGAGAGAGACAGAGAGAGCCAGGGACCAGGTAAAGCGGTGGGGCTCCTGCAACCACTCAGCCCCTAGGAGCTGGTAAGTGACCCACACAATCCTTTCTATTTGCATTTTAGTGTCTCTGGGATGGAAGCTTCCACAGAAAACACCTTAATTAGAGGTGTGTCTTATGGACGGCCTAGAATTTAAACTTGCACTTTTTTTTTTTTTTCCAAAAAGAATTCTGATGCTTTGCAGGGCAGAGGCTGGGCGAACTGGGAAAAAAAACGAAACACCACCACAATTGCATTAGGCTGAAGAGGACATTGTGTTAAGTCTGAATTTTGGCACAGGGTGTTGGGGTTCACTACAAGCTGTTGAAGTGTATGATGGATGCCACTGAAGGTCTCTGTCTTTCTCAGTGCTATGCTTCTTAGGGTTATGATAAGCGCTGAGCTTTGTTCTGAGGGTTTTGTTATATATTGTCTGGATTAAAATGTTCTCTTATTCTTTTTCTTTCCATTCGGCACCTTACTCCACTCTCTTAAAAGAGTACAATTCTAAGAGTTCATTTCTAAATGCATCGCCAAAATAGGAGGGAGAAAATGAGGAGATGTCACTTTAAAATAGTACCGAGTGATGGGAAGGTTTCTGTGGTCAGGTGCCACCTGTGGCTTGAGTGGATTTCTTGTCCCTGGAAGGTGTCTCACTTGCCTCATAAAAGGAAGGCAAGGATTTAAGGGCTTCAGTTTTGGAGAACAACAGGCAACTGGAATGGGAGGGTTAAGATTGATCACCAGTGTCAGTACGAGTAAAAATCCTAAGGCACAGATGCAACTGGAAAACCTCCACCCAGTGCCTGGTTTTCCAAGCACCAAATAGATGTAGAAAACTATGTACAACCAGGGTTTCAATGTCTTGCTTCCATTGAGTTTGTCAGAGAGGACAATATCCCCAAGAACTCTCTCATGACAAACCATCAGGGAGCCAGAATCATGCCAAAAATAGGTCAGCAAGGTCACTCCGAAAGACCAGTGTGTTTACTAACAGTAATAATTAATTCATCGGAGTGCTGAATGGGTGAAAGAAAGTGGACATGCATACTCTTTTAAATATTCGTTTTAATGAAATTTAGTGGTTAAAGTTCCCCGGTAAAGGGAAGAACATAATAAAAATAAACAGACCCACATTTGTAAAAAGAAATTAATTTAGCCAGATTATTCTAAACCACAATCAAATTAGTGTTTATTTCAAACCGAACTGTCATCTTCATGAGGCTGAGACCATACTCTAAAAAGGGACCATTAGTGGAGATTTTGTTCCATTAGTCAGACCCCTTTTTTCTTCTCCTTTCTGTCTTCAAAAGACTTTTTCTTAGTATCGCCATAAATAATATAAACAACATCAAGAAGGATGTGCTTAGCGTTTGACTACTCAAAGAGGCAGATAGAATGATTCTCTTGCCCATCGTGAGTGGTTTTAGCAGCTCTTACCCCTGCTTCAGCTACTTCCAACATATCGAATGTTTTGGGTATTTTACATTATTTATCAGTAAGTATCACAGGGCTGTGATCTGCCTTTCTCCTTTCAGTTTCATTTCTCCTTGATAATGGTTTAATGTTGTGCCCAATTAAAACAACAGCACAGAATGCTTTCTAGCTTCACACGTTGAATGCAAACATCAAATGCAGGATAATATATGACAGATAATGCAGACTCATTGTGCTTAAAGACAATAAGACAAAAGGTGGGAAGACAATGAGGACGGAGCATGTGTCTTCATTGTGGCTCAAGACTGAGAAGAATGTGCTATTTTCCTTTTTTTTTTTAAAGTGTGAGTGTGTGTGTGTTTGTGTGTGTGTTCAATATTTTTATTTATACTGTGAAGTAATTGCCAAGGAACTATCTGTTGGGGCTAGAGGGTCCAACTACTGAACACAAAAACCATCCTCAGCTACTTCAGTCTAAGTCATTACTGCATTTGTGGAAACCTTCTTTATGATTCTTCTTGAGGATCCTTTGTGGTATCACTAGGGGAATTCCAGTTTGGAAAAATCCAGAACTTAACTTACATAAGATTTCATTATTTTATTTTCTGCCACAACTAAAATGCCAATTGCTTGTGTGTGTTTTGGGGTTACTAGGGTTTGAACCCAGGGTCTCTCACATCCTCTTACAGACTAAAGACTTGCTCCTTCACTGATCTAACACCCTCCAACCCCACAATGGATAGCATAAATCATGTCAGCATACATTCCCTGCAGGACTGGGTGCTGTCTGTGAATGAGAGCCAGCAGAGCACCAAAAAGTGCAGTCGGTCAGTACACAACCTGGGCTTGAATTCAGCTTTGTTGCTTACCAACTGTGGGCTCCATGCCAGGTCTCTAACCTCTCTGAGTCTCAGGGTTTCTGTATGCGTTATGCTGAGGGTTAGAAAAGGTAGGAGTCAATTGGTGTCAGTTGTGATTTTTTTTGTCAGTTATGGAGCTTGAACTCAGGGTCTGGGGATTATTCTTGAGCTTTTTTGCTCAAGGCTAGAGCTCTACCATTTTGAGCCATCATTCCATTTCTGATGGTTAATTGGAGATAAGAATCCCATGGACGTTCCTGCCTGAGCTGGCTTTGAACCATGATCCTCAGATCTCAGCCTCTTGAGCAGCTAGGATTACAGGTGTGAGCCACCAGTACCCAGCTCAGCTATTATTTTAAGAGTCATATGTTAACACTTCAGAATACTGTGTTTTTGCAAATCGAGAAGATATACTATGTCCTTTGTAACTTGTATCATTACTCTTGCTCATACCCAGGTTGTGGGGAGAAAAAGATTATTCTCATAGTTTTAGAGGTTGAATAAACATACTCTGAATCTCAAATCCCTGTATAAAATAAAAGCTAGGGGAGTTTACTGCATTGATGTTCGTCTCTGTTTAGGGTAGAAATGCCGGTGTTTGTTGTATTGCAGGCTAGTTATATTCATCAGAGCTCACCGCAGGAAACAAACAAATGTATTGAGAGACCTAAATAATGCTGTAGACATTTCCTAAATAATGCTGTAGACATTTCTTTTTTTTTTAAATGTTTATTGCTATTGTAAAGTTGATGTGCAGAGGGGTTACAGTTTCATACATTAAATAAAGAGTACATTTCTTTTTGGACAATGCCGTCCCTTCCCTCACTCTCTCCCAGTTTTTCCCTCCTGTCCCTACTCACAAGTTGTATAGTTCATTTTCAACATTTGTTCACATTTGTCTCATCATTTCTGTGCCCCGCTTTACCCTCTCAAAGCCAGATGAAAGAAAAAACAAGACAAAAGGAAATGAAAATAAAAACAGCAACAAAGGAAAAAAAGACCTCTTGTTTCCATTTCCTGGAGTTCTTTTCGATAAATATTATTTTATATGGTCATATGTACACATGCTGTAGACACTTCATAACCTCTTTTGCCTACTTTCCCCAGGATCGGGAGCTCTCTGTTGCTGGTGACCTTTGATCACCCTGGGCCGAGCCCACTCAGAGTGACCTCTTCTCAACCATTCCAGCAGGGAGCCACTCACTAGTCCCTACCAACAGGACATCATGTCATTTCCAGGGGTGTCCCAGTCAATCCAATGCCTTTTTTTTCCCCATTACAAACTTGAAAACCTACATACCTGTTAGCTCATCAAACAAGAAAGAGTAATGCTTTTATTTAGCTCTTAAACTTTCCCCCACTTTCCTAAAGCTCCAGCAAATATGACCATAAATGGACCAAGACCAACTCTAACATTTGAGGTTCTTGTTAGAATAAAAGTTTCTGACTCAATAGACTCATTTGACCACTTACCTTAGGAAGAGAAAAAAAAATGGAGTGAGGTCGCTCAGTGCCAACATGCAAAGGGCGGGTTGGTGCCTGAAGAACAGGTCAGGAGCCAGAGCTCTGCGGTCCTGACCCCACCTGGTGACTTGAGGGATTTCTTTACTTGTTTGGGCCTCAGTTTTCTTTCTGAAACGATTCCATCAGTGGTTGTCAAGACGATGTGTGTGTGAGTGTTTCAGAATTCGTCTGGAGCCTGTTCTCTCTCTCCTCCTGCCTTTCCCTCTTCTGGAGAATCTGGAGGACCCATGCTGACATCTGTGATTCTCTCAAATGGACAGGGGTAGGGAGCAGTCTGGCTGTTCTTCTTTAGGAAAGCATTGATGTGAACTATAAATGCATGCCCTAAGCGCCCTGGTTTCAATGGCATTTATAGGTAGCACTGGATGTTTTCTCTCTCTCTCTTTTTAAATATAGTTTTTAATTGGGATTAAATGATAACATAAATTTCACAAATTTCACAGTATTGTGGGACAGTGATAGTTAAAGTCACAAACACAATTTAACCTTCACAAGGCAAATTGTCATCATCATGGTCTATAAAGTTTGTGAATTCTATAAGCTTTGACAATACAACTATTTCTTCCACATCGTGATATGTACATCTCTTTCCTTTTACTTAGTGTAAGTTGTTCCCTCTTTCTGGATGTTCTCTTTAGAAGTTAGTTTTGAATACACCAGTTGTTATTCCAGAAGCTCGCAGTGTATGGAATCAGCATGTCCTGGTCCGTGAAGCACTCTGGCTTACCACAACCACAAATCCAAGCCTCTCCTCTTACTTGGGCTCTGTATCTAGGGACTGAACCAGCCACAGACCGAAATTATTTGGAAATAATTGCCTTTGTGATGAATGCATAGACTTTTTTTCTTGCAATTATTCTCTAAACGATACAGTATACAGCAAGAGTGTTATGTTAGGTATTGTAAATTATCTAGACATATATGTACAATACATATATATGTGTATATATACATATACATATATATGTGTATATATCTGCAAATGCCATTGCATTTTATGCGACAGACTTGAGCATCCATGAATTTCAGTGTCTGTAGGATCTTGGAGGCAATTCAACATAGACACTGAGGGACAACTATAGAACACATAAAAAGATCAATTACTTAGATCTATAGATATTGCAATTCTGCATGAATAGCACTTTTGAATTTATGTGTGTCTACATAATTTGCACCTTCAAGTGAGCATATATCCTTTTCTCTTGTCTATGTGTTCTATTCTTTT